ATAGAATAATTGATAAACCAGATAAGATTTAAACTGATTATAGCTTCAACAGAATTCCCTGGAGGCCTTGGACTCTCTTAATTTTGACATGTGTGTTGTGTACCCTGAGGATGAAGTGCAGTTTGAATTATCTGTTTTTATTTGCTTAATGACGGGGAGGGTGTTAAAGTCAAATGTTTAATTAACCCAGCAATGGGCTGCGTTGTCACTTACACACAGCTGATTGAGATATCTCATGGAGAATACTGAATAGGAATGATAATGTGGCACCGGGACGGAAGATTGCTTTTGCAATCCATTTGCTGGGTCACTGCTTTGAATGTCTTATTGGATGAAAGGCATTCAGCCTGGAGAAAAAATTCAGCATTTAAGTACATTTTGTTCTCTCCTCCCCTTTGCCCCCTCCCTACCCTGAAGTTAACTAAAACAGATATGTTCTAGGTTTAATAAGCCATCCATGTACTAGTAAGAGATCAGGGTAGCTGGTAGCCTCAAGCTACATAATTTCCTGTGGAAACGAAGAAACCCTACTAGCCTCTAGGGTATTCTAACTGTTAGCTCTTTTGTCTGTCCTCACATCTCTATCCCTTGCTGTTATTGTAGGATTGTCTTTGATTCCTTGTCTCTTGCCTCTTTTGTGGTGTTTGCTAGTGCAGTTACCTCCAGGGCCACAGGCAGATACCTTTTCTCCTCCACAATTCTCAAGGATAGTTTTGGCATTCCACACAGCTGCCTTCTATTTGCTTATATTTTCTTATTAGGCATTGTAGTGAGTTAAACTATTGAGAGATATGAGTAATATTTTTGCTACTTTTATTATGTGAACAATTGGTGCCATATATATTTGATTTTTTGAGAGGCAGTTTACTTTCTGTATGAACCATGAAACTAGGCCAGTAAAGAGTCCAATAGCCTGCACTATTTAAAAAAAATGCAATCTAGGCAATTGGCATTTTAATGACTTGCTACCTACAAAATAAGTATCTCAAACTTTGAATCAAATGTAAAATAATTCTCAGGTATATGAGTAAAACTTTTTTTTAAAGAAAAGAATCATTGTAACATTCTTTTTGTATGGTTCTTATGTTTTTTGGTTGGTTTTTTTCTTTCTATTCCCTCAAAGATCTAAGCCAAGGATTTACTAATTTTTTCCTTTGCTTTAGTCATTTGTATTCCAGAGAGCACAATAGGGAGAAGGATACAAGATTGATTCTTTATGTGTGTCCTCCTGAAAGCATAGTCTGGTGGGGTTTTAAAGCAATAGAAGCATGCAGCTAGTTTCCAGGCGCAGGTTGGACTTCTGCGGGTCAAGGCAGACCAGACAAGTAGCTTATCTTGAGGGACGCAAGTAATAGACCAAATATAGAGCAGCTATTTCAGGAATCATGTAGGTCATTTAATTATCCATTATGATTGAGTGGCTAATGCTCTTTTGGCAATTACATGACCTCTGTTATTCTTGAAACCTTTCCAGGCCCTCGTGGGCCGAATGACCCAGCAGTCAGTGCTCTCAGGCTTCATTCCACTCAGAAGGAAAGGAGATGTTGGGAAGCACTGGCATTTAGAAACGACTGCTTTCTTTACTGACCACTACCCAGAATGCCCTTTGTACAGCAGTCAGTGAGAGGCAGCTGATTCTGGAGCCTTGTCTGCGGAAGAAAAGGATGTTCAAAAGGGTGGTTTCTCACAGAGGGATTTTTGGCAGGATATACTGAAACGTGAATATTACAGATTTCAGAGGTTCCTCCTGTAGTATTAAAATCAGTGTTTGATATTTGTCATACTCTGAAGTAGGCAAGGCAATTTTAATTCCATAAAATGACAAAATACTATTTTGCCACAAATACCAGATTTGATAACTAATACCAGATTTTACTGAAAGATCATTTATTAATGCCAAAAATGCCATTAAGTTGAAGGGCCACTCTAAAGAACTATACTGGGCCAAGTTTTTCAGCCTTAGAAACCAAACATTTATTTAAAAAAAAAAAAAAGAACAGAGAAGAGATTGTAAGGATATGTGATTGATGGGAAAGTCCACTGGATAACAAGAATACAATAATTTCTCAATAATATAGGAAGTAAGAGACTGATCAAATATGGGTAAGTTCATAATAAAATTATCAGAATTATCTACCTCTGTCTGGTTTTTTGGCAACTACTTATTTAGTTGGCATGGTTTTTAATTTTATTCCAAAATGGTGAGGATCAAAACTATAATAATCCAGGAATGTCTGAATTAATGTTTCTCACTTGTTTTTTAACCAACAATGGATTGTTAATATTACCAAAGAAAATTCTTCATTTTGATTAATGACAGGGAATAATTTTGTAAAAATAAACAATGCAGGTTTCGTGTGAGTCTCCATTTAGAAGACAGAGACTATGGAAAGTAGTAATAGTGCAACCAAGTTGTAGAATGTCAGAAATGTAAGCAAAATGGTGTATCGTTAGCAGAATGGATGACTAGAGGTGTGTGGAATATTCTCCAGTATTACAGCAACTTCAAACCATAGCCTCGGGGATAAATTTTGTTAGAACACACAAACGTATCCTTTTAAATTGTCATTTTTAAATAGAAAGAATTTCTATTATTATTTTGTTGGAGAAAAATACTTTTTAAAATCTGGTATTTGTCAAAAAGCATTGTATTAAACAAAGAACTCAAACAACATTATTTATTGCTAGGGAAATAAAATTACTTCATCATCCCAAATAAATTATTAAACCACTCCTGATAGAACTCCAAGTTAATCTGTTTTGGTTTTATTTTCATTTTGCTGTTTGATAATGTTAGCATGAATATTAGAGGAAATGAACTATCGGTGTGTGACTTTGGCCCTTCCAGAAAAGAGGCATGCTTCTCTTTCATTTAAATTCTTAGTCCAATTCTAGCCCCCTGTAAACCTACTTAGAGACCCGACAATCCAGTTGATATAAGTTCTGTTAGCTGCTTTCTTTAAAAAAAAAAAAAAAAAAAAACCATAGCCCTCTCCCTCTTCTTTCTATAAAAGATGTTATCAGGAAATGAGATGGCAAGACTTAAAGTAAAAGCAAGGATTAAAAGATCAAATATTAGAATATAGTTAGCATTCTTAGCATTTTAAGAGAAAAGCAAGGAGTATAAAGCATAGTACATGATCTGTTTTTCTTAAATGCGCCTCTGTTCTTTAAAACACATTTAAGAGCTATGCAGGACTGAATTTTTCAGACTTGGAAACCAAATATTTACAAAAATCAGTGGAAAGAGCAGAGTTTATAAATTTAAGAAATATTTTTTAAGTTGGAACGGTCACAGGGTAATAAGATTAGAATGATTTCTTTTTTAAGCATTCTAATTTATTAAAAAGTAAAAATTTGCAAATATTTCATAATAATAAGGGAAATAATAAAGGAAGTCATATACAGACAAGTTTATAATAAAAAATAAATACCAAAACCAGAACACAAAACAATCTTTGTTTTTGTTTTCTTTTTGCAACTACTTATTTAGTTGGGGTGCTTTTTATTTTTGTTCCAAAATGGTGATCATTTGGAGGATATTACAGTTTATCATGTTAAATCTTAAATTTCTTTGAAGATAGTGTTGCATTGTAATAAACTGGTAATACTCAATTCAGGAAGATACCCAAGGTGAGGAAAATAAAAAGAAACCAAAGACCATGTGAGGAACAGGAATGCCAGAAGTCACAGTTCATTGGGGTATGGATTCACATCCCTAAAGCTCTATAGAATGCAGATGCCTTTGAAGTTACAAAACTAACCGGACATTCTTAGGAGAAGCAAATGTTTGCCTCTTAACTTGTATACAACTGTATGAATAAGATAGTGTATAAAAAAGACAGCAAGGAAATTTGTGCTTTAAAAGACATTGTCCCAAACACATATTCAGGAAAAGTAATATTTTGAAGAGGGCAAAATATTCTTTGAGGTGCATTTAAACTTAAAAATTTTGTGTTTGGGTCATATGTTAGGTGTGCTTGGCTTTTTATTTCAGTCTTTCAATTTCAAATTCTAGCAAGCTTATGTTTATTTTACTGTGCTTATTTAACCTTATGAATTGTTTTTGGTTTCTTTTTCTTTTTTGTTTTTTGTTTGTTTTGGTTTTGGCTTTTGGTTTTTGAGATAAGATTTTTTGTGTAACCCTGGCTGTCCTAAAACTTGCTCTGTAGACCAGGTTGGCCTTGAACTCACAAAGATCTTCCTGACTCTGCTTCCTGAATACTGGGATTAAAGGTGCTAGCCACCACACCAGGCTGTTTTTGTTTTTTAAATCATGAAATATATGTATGAAAAAAATTTCAAAAGGAATAGTGGCCCTAATCCGACAAGAAAACCACCAACCTATGGGAACATACACAGGCCTACTTTGCTGTTCTATTTTCAATTTGAAAATATTAAGCCATATTGTTATAGTTTGGTGACTGCACTGTCGTGTTCAACAGAAATAAAATATTATAAAAATTTCACAGCCTACAAATTTGTATGTAGACTATACATACAAATTTGTATGTAAACCAAATAAAGTATGGTTGACTTTTCAGTTAGTCTTTAGAGCCCTGAAACTTAGTTTAGTGTTTAAATGGACTATTATTCTGATGTGGAACATGTTAACCTAATTACAAATTCTTATGTGTACTCAGAGTCATTACTAAGTTGATGTTCAAATCTTTGATTAAGAAGTCACAAAGCTAAATATGTTCAGACAGCTGTCATCTTTCCTCTTCAGAAAATAGAGATAACTGTTTTAGTTATTTTGGGCAGAGGTCCCCATATTGATTACTGCAAATTTATTTTTCTCTCATATTTAGACTTTTAATGATACTGTTAAAATATTGTCTTGATTGGGATGTTTCCTGACTTGAAAGTTAGCAAAAGCAACATTGGTGCCCTTCCCTTGTAATTCCCTGGTGCAGTTCATCTGTGTCTTTATCTGAGCATCTCAGTACATAGTTGAGCTTGTTTATCTTAGAAGAGCAGGAGTCAGGCTTTTAGGGAGTGAGCTACATGTTCCAGAATAACAGACACCAATGCTGTTTGACTTGAAGAACATTTGATCTCTTACATTAACACCCATGTCACTGTAACAGCGACTACAGTCAAACTGTTCAGTTTTCGGTTATTTAGCTTTGAAATAACCGTTACTGCTGCTCCAAAAATACCTGTGTGTAAAATTGTACATTGGCTGACCCCCCCCCCAGGACTCGTAAGTAAGCACGGTGATGTGTGTGGTCAGAGGGAGGATATTTTGTTGGCTTTGTTTTAAATAATAACTGTCCCTATCTAAAGATGTTCCTTCTGACCCCAGTAGTGTGTTGTATAACTTGTGTACATTAGCAGATTCAGCAATATCTTAAGCAGATTTTTGTTTGTTGCTAATAATATATGTACTCATTGGCTATTAATTTGAACCTTTTTATTTTCTTCTCTTAATAATAAGAAGTTTAGGTTCTCTGGCACTTAACCTCAAAGATTGTTTTGTTTCTCCAAGTACAGTTCGGACAATAGTTGTTGAACACAGGGAAGCAAGACTTTAAGGACTGTAGGTTTGTTAGAGTCTAGTACTATTTTGCTTTATTTGGAAATGTTCTGCTCATAATTTCTGTGTTAAATAGTTTGGCAGTTAGAATTAGGTTGTAGTATTCAAAGAAAAAAACGATTTGTGAAATCAGGTTGGTTTCCTTTTCTTTGAGAAAAGTCTCTTTTAATGATAGAATGCAGCCTATTTTAATCATGGTGGGACTTGCCCATATTATTTAATCCCTTCCTTCTTTTTTTCCTCTATTTCCTAAAGTTTGTTTCCTCATTTTATTTTTATTATATAATGAAATACTACCAGGCCACACCAGTACTTTTAATTTAACATACAAACACACACACACACACACACACACACACACACACACACACACCCTAGCATAAGTGTAATTGGTTGAAAGGCAACCATCTATCTAGGGAATTGTTCTAAATACTAAATGTGTCCGTGTGTTTTGACGTGACATATTTGTAATATTTCTGAATACAGAAAGCACTTTCTGTGTTAGCTGTAGGTATCAAAGCCGTGTCTTTGAAGACTTTGTGCTGTGCAGATTCTGGCTTGTGCGGTAACGACAAGTGTGTGCCTGCATAGACAATACATTTTTCCCCCTGAGGTCCCCACACACCTAGTTTCCCTCAAGCTCATCATCTCTGTCAGGTTAATCAATAGGCACCGTATGGCAGAGGGTCAGTAATCAGTGTCATCGTGCCTTTAAATCGTGTTGAAAATTTGCTTAAAGCCTGGGCCAATTAACATCGAGATGATGAATGGATGGGAAGATGGGAAGAGCCTGCCGCTCAGGGGCTTTGTGAGGAGGAGATGCTCAGCTGTTGAGCAGCAGACACCAGCGAATAAAATCAGCCATTCATGTGAGCTCAGTCCACCCACTCTTAATGATAATGTCAATCTAGCAAAATATATACACATTGGAGTTGTCATGAGTTCATAAATCAAAGGAGTTTGTCAAAGGCATTCAGATTAACGAGGCAGCAGCAATAACAAGTCAAATTTGCATAGAGAATTGCTTGAATCTCAGTAAATTATGATCCTGTTTTTCATTTGATTATTTGCTAATGTCTCAAGAGGGAGAATGATTATATTAGCATGCAAAATCTCCTCCAGAAGTAGAAATCTGAGGTATAGAAGACCAGCACACTATGACAATTAATCAGTTTCTGCATACTAGCATAAATGCACAAGGCCCAGAAATGAACTTCTTTTTTATTATTATTTCTCCTTGCTACTGATCCAAATGGTTCAGCTTGACAGAGACTTTATATTGCTTTAACAGTGTTCTGAATTGTGCCTGCAGGCAAGACATAGTTATGCAGCTATAACCAACCTATCCATCTGCCAACCAGATTGGAATTCTCCTATCCAGGGCTTCCATTAACCCCCACTGACAGCTCCAAACAGGATTAAGAATTTGGAAGCATAAAAAATAGTTGTTCTTTGCAAATACATACAGTCCCTTTGCATTTTGAGAAAGGCTGCATCTGTAGTATTTTTATAATTAGTGTCAGGCAATGTAGCAGGGGGAAAAACCTACTTGGCAGGTTTTTTGACTTCTGTCATAGGGAGTAAGGCAGTACTGATGACCATTCTCTCCCAGTGAGTGCTTCCCATTTTATCTGGTTCCTACCACTGTTTTGGATCTGTACGCTGCTGAAAAATAACACTCCTTGAAAACTTGGACTGGGGCGCTATAGAAGTTTAGCGCTGTGTGCAGACTTTGTTTGATGTGGCTGTCGTTTAATAGAGTATGCCAAATGGTAAAGTTGCCAGAGAAGCATTGTCTGTGGAACCATGCCAGAGAGGATTATTTTATGAGGACACTTCAGGTCTTCCCTAAAATCAGATCCTTTAATAGGAATTTCCAGTAAGTCTTCTATACTTCTTTCATTTATTCCAGGAAGTTTAAGATTAATTAAATTTGCTCAAATACACACACAGAGTGCTGGTAAGGTTTTGTGGGTTTTTGTTTGTTTGCTTGTTTTTTGTTTGTTTTGTTTTGTCTTTGGAGATAGGGTCTTACTCTGTAGCACTGGCTGGCCTGGAACTCACTATGTAGATTAGGCTGGCCTTGAACTTTCATTGATCTTCCTGTGTTTGCCTCCCAAGTATAAGGATTATAGGCATTATCAGGCGCTCTCTCTCTTTCTCTCTCTCGCTCTCTCGCTCTCTCGCTCGCTCTGTGTGTGTGTGTGTGTGTGTGTGTGTGATGTCACTTTTCACTAAAGAGTTTTTATTCTTTATGTAGTTAAATTACCTTTTAACCTTGTAAAAGAATAACTTTGTTTTTATAAATTGGAAATCATGTGCATTTGGAGATTAAAGTTACTGCCAAGTCACAGAACAAGTTAATGGGAAAAAGTATTACTCCAGTTGCTTGCAAAGCTCATTACATAATTTTGCAGCTGGTTATTAGAAAATAGTCTTAGGTTCTTTTTTTTTTTCATGTATATTTGCCATTCTACATGATAGTGAACAGTTGGGTTCTGACTTTAGGGTTTCTCTGTATAACAGCCCTACTTGTCCTGGAACTAGCTCTTGTAGACCAGGCTGGCCTCAAACTCACAGAGATCTGCCTGCCTCTGCCTCCTTAGTGCTGGGATTAAAGGCGTGCAAAAACACCACCTGGCTCTGACTTTATTTTTTTTAATTATTTCTTTTAGTGTTTGTGCATATGTGCAAACTTGTGCATGCCATGATGAATAAATATATGGAGGTCAGAGGACAACTTTTGGTTGGTTCTTCCCTGCCGTCTTGTGGTGTCTGGGGATTGAATTCAGATCATCCATGTTTGAGTGTCCTACCTTATCAGCTATATCTTTGGCCTAGATTCCCACTTTTAAAGGGTTCAAACTCAAGATAATAACTATCTGAATTGTAAAATCATTTTAATTATCCCAGTGAAAACTTTAACATTGGGACTAGATCTATGACAGTGGTTAAGAGCATTCTGGCTGTTCTTTCAGAGGACCTGATTTTGATTCCCAGCACCCACACTGTGGCTTGCAGCCTTCTGTAACTCCAGTCCCATGAGATCCAACATCCTCTTCTGTCCTCCATGGGTACCAGGCATAAACATTGCAGAGAAAATACCCATACATGTTAAATAAATAATTATAAAAAATAGAAAATAATTATAAAAAAATTTAAAAAGTGGAAAAACATTGTATCTAGTTCTTAAACTTGTTTTACTTCTAAGTGATATCTATTCAAACTAGTTCAGGCTATGTCTCACCATTCAATCTTGAAAAAGATACTGGTTTTGCTTGGTTTTTGTTGTTGTTGTTTGTTTGTTTTTTGAGACAGTTTCTCTGTGTTGGCCTGGAACTCACTTGTAAACCAGGCTGGCCTTGAACTTACATAGATCTGTCTCCCTCTGCCTCTGGAATGCTGGAATTAAAGTTGTGCATCACCATATGTCAATTGGATCTTATTTATTTATTGAGCATCTAGCATCCCTGTTTTATGAAATATGTTGAGCTGTGGAGGGAAGTACAAGACTTTACCAAGCATCCTTCCTTACTGATTAGTTGAGAGTAACAGTGTATCTGAACACCAGATTATATGAATCAAGATAAAAATGTTAAGGAGTTTTCAGTAGAATAAGATGGAATGGTTATGTTGTTTCTTAGTGAAGATGACAGTTTAACCTCATCTTAAGGATATTGGAGCTTGAATAATTTTCTTGTGTTCATAATTGTCAGTCGAATTAGAGTAGAGTTAAGGAATCTTTCACTCGGATTCAATGTCATAAAACAAGTTTGTGTGGCATATGAAGAGATTTGTTTGACAAAGGCAGAGTATAATACAGTTGAGGGAAGTAACTGGGTATAATATGTTTTAGAAGGACTCGAAAGTCAAACTGAAGGGTGTTTGGTTCCAGGAAAGGGGTGTGTGTGTGTGTGTGTGTGTGTGTGTGTGTGTGTAGGTCAGTGGACAGCTTGAAGAGGTCAGTTCTCTTCTTTCACCATGTGGACCCAGGCATTGAGCTCCGGTAGTCCAGCTTGGTAGGAAGCACTTTTACCCCCAAACACTCTCCCCAGTTCCCACTAAAAGTTTTGAGATAAAGATCATCATGATACTAGCGGTATCTGAGGCAGATCAATCAGGCAGCAGTACTCAATCCAACAAACATAGAATAGACTCATTGTGTTGAACCATTAGAATGTGGAATTGGAAAAATTGGCCAGTCTTGGAGGAACTTCACAGCATAGGTTGAAGGCATGTTCATACACAGATATGACATGGAGAACTGGAATGTAGTCAGTGGTAGAGCACTTACCTAGCAACCTCCAACACTAATAGAGGGTAGAGAGCTTCAACTCATGAGTGTAAGAGATCAAATATGATATCAAGATATATAATATTGAAAAGTGCCAAATTGGAAATCAGTATTCAGAGACATTAATTCCCCCAGGAAGTGATAATCACCAACTTTTTTGAAATGGTATTTTAGTTGTTACTTGAATCAGGTTTTTTTTAATTGCATTTATTTCATTTTATTCTCTGTGTGTAGAGGCAGGGGTGTGTGTGGTGTTTAAAGTCTTTTATACCAGGATAGGCATATATTGAGGTCATAGGATAGCTTGCAAGAATTGATTATCATCCTACACCACATAGGTTCCAGGAATTGAACTCAGGTCATCAGTCTTGGTGACAAACATCTATCAATGGGTCCTCTCCCCAAACTTTGAATTGAGATTTTAATAGATCAAAAGATTAGGGGGAAAGGCTACTATTATATTGAGCAAATACAATTAGCGAAAGTGAACCAGGTGTGATGCTACACATTTGTAACTCAAGCACTTGGGAGATGAGAGGAATGAGATTTCAGGGTCATCATTGACTACATACTGAGTATAGGGTCAGCCTGGACTATAGAACAAAGCTGTCTCAGAGAGAAAAAGAGCTAGGTATAGTGATATATACCTATAACCCTGGCAATTCAGGTTGAGGCAGGAGTATTGTCACATGATAGAGGCTGTTAAATAATGAGGCCCTGTCTGAGAGGAGGTAGGGGCATAGAGGAGGAGGGAGAGTGAAAGGGGGAACAAAGAGAAAGAGAAGGTAGGGAGAGAAAAGAAACAAGAAAGATGCGGGTGGGGAAAAGAAAAGGAATTTGCATTAGCAAAAACACAGGGATGAACAAGTGCATTCTTATTTTGATGAATAATAAATAATGCTATGCAAATGATGCAGTGCTTTGTCAAGTTAAACTTGCCGAATTACTAGTGTTGTAATGATTTAAGTTTGGGTCAATTATATAAGTACCAGGGAGCTATAAGAGGTTTCTTTTTATTTCTTGAAGCAGAATCTCTACTATATAGCTCTGGCTGTGCTGGAACTTGCTGTGTAGATAAACTGGCCTGAGATGTATAGATATCCACCTGCCTCTGCCACCCAAGTGCTGAGACCAAAGGTATGTGCCACCACGCCTGACTTAAAGGGTTTCTGAGTAGCAAAATAACCTTTTTAGCATGGCAGCTCTGACAGTAGTGTGTATGCTGTGTCAGGTACAGACTAAAGCAAGGCTATCAGAGCTTGTCAAAAGTAAATATTGTTGGTCTGGACTAGAGGAGAGGCAGTTGGAATGCAGAAATAGTCTTGAGTATATTAAAATTGAATCAAAGGGGAAAAACTCTACTGGAAACTCAGATGTGCTGAAAACAAAAAAGTAATGGGTAAAATAATGAGTAATGGGAGCTTAAGTATGGGACCAAAAGGAAAACTGGACCACCGGTGAGGAGATGGTTATTTGCCAGATTTCTCTATTGTAGAGTTACTTTTTTTTTCTTAAGTATCTTAGGGGTATACATTTGAAATTAATGTAACAGCCCTACTACTTATAAAAGGTTCACCTGCTACTTTAGTAGCCCCTAGGTGATTCTTCCCTGTGTCAACTAGTTACTCTTGAGTTTATTGCCTGTAACTTAACTTACTGGAACAGTTGGGTACTTTTCTTGTTGGGATTCCTTCTCATAGGGTGCAGACAATAAGTAATTCAACTCTTTTGGGTGTTAGTGGTGAGATTCCTGAGGACCACCAAGGCTACCTATTAGGCTCATGTGACAATTTCTTCTTTCGTTGTTACTCTCATGTTGGAGCGATTATTCATCTCTAATTTACTGACACTCCACATTTCTCCTTCAATATTAGGCAACAACCAGTTCCTTGCCCCTTACAGCCTGATTACTTAGCATTGCTACCTCTGTTTTATGTAACCGTTGTGCTGGGTTTTTCATTCTGGTTGGCTTTCTTTTAATGGGTTGGCCAAAATAAGTGTTTGGTTAATCTATCAAAAAAAGAACTAACTTTGAACAATGTTTACAGGTTTTTCTTCCTTTTTCTCTTCTTAACTGCTGGATGGCAGTGACATATGCATGGCTTTAATCCCAGTACCCAGGAGGCAGAGGCAGGTGGATCTCTGTGAGTTTGAGGCCAGCCTGGTCTACAAGAACTAGTTCCAGGACAGGCTCCAAAACCACAGAGAAACCATCTTGAAAAACAAAAACAAACAAAAAAATTCTTCTTAACAATAACACCTAGCCTTTAATCACAACACTCTTGGCAGAGACAGACAGATCTCCACGAATCTTCTACATAGTGAGTTCTAGGCTAGCCAGTGCTGCAGAGTGAGACCCTGTCTCAAAAACAACAGTACCTGGTTTCCTCATTTGTAGTACTCTATAGTCATTAACTCAACTATTTCTCCCTACTCCTTGGGCAGTTTTCATTCCTTTCTTTTCTCCCAAAACAGAATATATTTTATGTTGATTTACAGCACAGTGGTGATTAAATAGTAATTTTATACATGTATGAAATTTTCCAGATAAATTCATATTTAGATTCAAGAAATATGTCCTAAATGTAAAAATAAAGTAACTCGTTAGAATGTGATAATTTTATATAATGTAATAAATTTGTCAGCTGTGAACTCTAATCTATTACTGTTAATTGAGAATTCAAATAAATGTAATTGGGATTTTCTGTGTTTGTTTTGTAAATGGTTAACATTTGTTGTCCTTGTTTTGTTTGTTAGAGAGGGTCTCATTAGACAGATGAGGCTGGCCTCAAACTTGAAACTCCAGAGAATCTCCTGCCTGTCTCCCAAGTGCTGTGATTAAAGGCATAAACTACCATATTCAACTGATTTTAAACATTTTTGAATTTGTTTTTAATTTAATTGTTTCTCCTTGGTATATAAAAATCCCATTGACGTTTTAGGATCTTGTAGCTACTATTTGAAGTGGTAATGACAAAGAAATTGACCCTAATCTTAAATCCTAGAGTAAATATTACTTGTGTTAATAAGAACTACACTGCTTTTGTGTAAAACAGAAAATCAAATGTGAGGTGAGAACAAGAGATTGATCCTTCTAAGAGTTCAGACTAAGTATCAAACAGACAGTCATAATAGTTGAAGACTGATTACATAAAAGAGAAAGTAATAATCATGGCTTAAATTGTCATCAGCTAAATGTGACCTAGGACTTCCTTATCAGCCCAGTGTCAAAGTCTGATAAACTAGACTTCTAGTCATTGTGATTCTTCTGGGTAGTGCTTAAACAGACAGAATACCTCCACCCAGATCCCAATGTGAATTTATTTATATACATGGGCATATGGTTTCCTTTACATGTGTGTATGTCTGTATGTATATAAATCTTCAAATGCATAAATATACATGGTGTTCTCGCTTACAGAATTAGAAATGTAATTCAGTTTACTCCCACAGAATAAGACTGAAGATAATGAGAACTGAATTAAAGCTTACTTTCTTTCACAGAATTCCTCAGAGAGAGAAGACTGTAATAATGGCGAACCCCCTAGGAAGATAATACCAGAGAAGAATTCACTTAGACAGGTATGAAATTCAGTCTTACTTAAAATAAAAAGCTTCCAACAACAAAGCAAAAGACAGGAAACCCTTGACTATCATTTTTTAAACACTGGAATTTAAATCAAGAGCCCTGTATTCTGAAGTTGGTCTGGCCAATGCCATCAGTTTCGATCAGGTAACACACTTCTCAGTCATTTAAAAATATCCTGGATGTAGCCGGGCTGTAGTGGCGCACGCCTTTAGTCCCAGCACTCGGGAGGCCAAGGCAGGAGGATCTTTTTGAGTTTGTGGCCAATCTGATCTGCAGAGTGAGTTCCAGGACAGCCAGAACTACACAGAGATCCCTGTCTCCAAAAACAAAAGAAAACAAAACAAAACAACAACAACAAAATGATACTCTGGATGCAAAAGTACAAGGCAGTCTGTATATGTAGTAAATATTTAAATTGAAGTAAAGAGGTCTTGTTTAGGCAAGATGACCTTAAGTACCTTATAGAATGGTCATGGAATAGTTAACACTAATATTTCTCAGTAAAGATTATTTATACATTTTAGTTTTAAATTAAATAGCTCATTAAATAACCCAGGCTAGAAGGCTTGATGTTATAGGCCTCCCACCTCAGCATCCTGAGTCCTGGGATTAAAAGCCTGTACCTCATGCCTGGCCAACATTCATCATACATTTAAATAGTAGTAGTAGTAGTAGTAGTAGTAGTAGTAGTAGTAGTAACAATAATAATAATACAGTTCTGTAACAAAGGTAGTTTCTTTTCGTTTGAATTTGTATTGTTTTGTTTTGTTTCTAGAAGTGGAGTCCACTATAGATGGTTACTTTAAAACCTTTTTTGTGGGGCTAGAGCTATGGCTCCGTGTTTAAAGTACTTGCTATGAAAACATGAGGACCAGAGTTCAGATCCCCATAACCCATGAGCATAACAGGCGCCTGTAATCCAGCACTGTGAAGGCAGAGAATCAGAGAATCCCAGAAGGGATTCTCAATCAGTAAGGTGCAGAGTGATTGAGGACCTCTGCATATATGCACACATGCTTGCATAATACACACACATAGGGGGAAAAAAAGAGAAAACTTTAAACCCCTTTTCCTCAGGCTTCTGTGCCCTGCTTCCTAATGGTAATGTATTTTACTTGTGAAAGTTCAGTCTTAACAATTTTTTTTAAAGATGTATTTACTTATTTATTATAGTGTCCCACCTGAACTTATGCCTGCAGGCCAGAAGAGGGCACAAGATCTTGTTACAGATGATTACAAGCCACCATGTGGTTGCTGAGAATTAAACTCAGGACCTTTGGAAGAGCAGCCAGTGCTCTTAACTGCTGAGCCATCTCTCCAGCCCATGATTGTTTTTTTAATTAAAATATCCAAAATAGTGACTGAAAAAAAGTCCTCACTACTGTAACCTGTTAATATTTTGTTCTTTATTAGAAATAGAATAAGTCATTAAATTATTTATTAAATTATTATAGCTAGAAAATAAGTGTCACGCTCATTTTTAGTATCAAATTGTATAAAATGAGTACCAGAAGTAATACAAATAATTTTAATTTGTTGTGTTTATGGCCTTGTTTTAGGACACAGGAGAGCAGTGATGTAGTTTTTGATGGATACCCACAATGAACATATTTATTTCATTTAATCCTGTGATAACCCTGCTGAGTTGGTAGATATATGATTTCCAATTTACTGATGAAACTAATGGAAGCTTGAAGAGCTTAGGCTTGATCAGAACTGCTCATTGATTTGGAACTTGGACCTTACTATTTCCAAAAAAATTTTTACTTCTGCCTCCAGAGTCCAGTTTTTACAGCTTTCACCTAAAAGGAAGGCACTTGAAAGCATGCCACAATCATTTTTCATTTAGTGTATGTTCACTCTTTTTTGGATAGGCACTTTCCCATTTTTTATAAAAATAATTGTTTTAAATAGAATTAAGTCAATATAGAAAGCTTTCAAAACAAACAAACAAATTGATGTTGAAATGGATCAGTTTAATTATTTGGAGATAGATACCAGACCTGTGTGCTGAATGATCAGAGCACTGTTGAGTAAGGTAGACTTGGAGATGGAGACTCTCTGCCCACTATACAGAAGCAACTGTCAGAAAACAGTGATGCGACAAAAAGTTTTGGCAACTTTATTTAAGCTAACAAACGAATTTTCACTCTGCAAAGTTATAAATTAATTTTAATAGGCTGATCCAGATGGTCCATTTGGAAAATGGATAGGCTGATCTGTTGAAAATTAAACTAAATTTATCTCTCTCATACTTCAAACTGAAGCAAGAGAGAGAATCGTGCCTATTAAGTCCAGCACATACAGATGGACCAGCAGGTCACACATGGGACTAATCTGATTCATTTTAAAAATAAATGAATACATTATTGAATCATTTTCTTCTTGCAAGATCTGTTGTGTGCAGTATTTGAAAGAGATTTAATGTTTTTTTCCCTGTTGCTATTTTAGCAGGTTCTCTTCACCCCCTCCACTTTAATTTAAACCCCCCTCCATTTCTTCAGAATGATTTTTCTAATATCTGCCATTCAGGGTTGAGATCCAAGCTCTGGAGATTAATTAGGTCATGAGGCTTTCCCCCCTCCCTTCTTTGTAAAGGGTTTTATCTCCATTCTCTTTGTGAAGAGCATGAACTCAGTGTTCTTGGAAAGAGAAATGGCCTTTAGAATTAGGGAAGTAGAAGATCCTCCTGGGGCCTCGGAGCCTTTTAGCTTCTGGGTGTAAAAACAGCCCCATGAATGCAGATTTGTAAATTTATTGCAGTGCCATCTGGTTTTTTGCTTGAACCAGATTACTGTTGGCTTGTTTCTGTCTATTGTGGTGGTCACTCCCTAGGAGCTTGCCCTCTCAGTCTTGGGAAAGAGTGATGAATAGCAGGGGTCAATAGAAGCGGGTCACAGGGCAGCTGTCCAGGACTGCCCTGAACTTGATTACCCCACTGCTGTTTTTTTTTAATCTAGTGCATAATACACAAGCTGTTTAAACTCCTCTTTTTCTCTGTTGCATTTGACAATAAGGAAATGCCATTTGCTATTTTGTTTGCCTATTGTCGTGATCTATAGATAAAAAGATGTTAAGGCCAGTCAATCTAAAGTGAGTGTTTGCTTCATGGGGGCCAGTCTCTTCAGTTGAAATCAATAAGATTTAAGAAATCTCTTACCCTTAAATATAAAAAATTCATCTGTACTCTAACAGCCTAACATTGTGATAACAAACCTTATAATTTGTATCATTTATTCTCAGACAGAGGTTTGCCAGTGCTGATGGGACACAGCCACTAATGTTAATTTGGAAAGCTGTTTTAATATTGGAGGGCTGAAAGAAGGGTTATCACTATAATTCTTGGAGACATTAAAAGAATATTGGAATATTATAAATAACCTAACGTCAAAAATTGACTAGATAAAATGGGCAGATTCTTTGAAAATACAGCTTACAAAGTTAGCACAAGGTAAAAGAAAGTTATGTCTATTAAATATAATATCTTCGTTATCAAAATGTTCGTGTGGTTTCACTGGTGAATTAAAAACTATTTAAAACAGAAATAATAGCAATCTTGTACTACAAACCCTCTCTAAAACACAAAAGGAAAGACTCCTTTTGGCCTGTGTTTTAAGACTACCATAATAACACTTTGAAAACTTGACAGAGAAATTACCAGAAATAGTGAAGGAGAAAGTTGTGAGACAACTCCTTTTGTCATCATTTGGCATTAAGTATGAACTTTTAAAAAGTGCAACATAGATACAATTTTCTTTCTGCTTTTACTCCTAAACTGTGAAGCTATAGAAACCATAACCACTGTTTTATATTCCGTGTGTGATGGGGGTGGCCAGAGAAGATAGTGAAAGTGTTCTTTACTTTTTGAAAACGTAGCATTACCACATGCGTCTCTTGTTTGTTCACACTGGGGCTAATAGGATCTGTCACTTCTCCTTTTCTCAGTAATTGAGTAAATTGGCTGCTGCCTAATTCTTCTCCCGTCCTCCACCCCTTTTGTGTGTGTGTCCACTTACCATCCTGAGAACGTGGGCAGTGATAAATAAAGCATTGAGTGGAGCTCTCTCGTCTCTTTGAAAGCAGCATGATGCCAGCCCTCTAGTTATATTTCTTTAAGTGTTTACATTTTCCTGTATTCTTTCTCTTGTGTAGCTGGAACCCTGGGGATGCAAAGCCATGAGAGAGGCCAAGAAGCTAACAAAGTAGCTGTCTCCCTTGTTAGCTTGTTCCTTTATTCTTTAAAAACAAGATAAAAACCATCTGGCTCAGGGCATTCCATTTTCCTCCCCTGTGCACCTCTATAGATGGCAGCTTCACCTGCAGTGAGGGTTTACATTGATTAGGGAGGGAGCAGTAATTCAAGCTTCCATCTTCTTCAAGGATACTTTGCAGTCTGTAAAGGTGCTGACCCACTGAGTTAAACTGTCAAGGGACGATAAAAAAGTATCTTCATCCCGGGAGGTAACAGCTGCCAGGTTTTCAACACCTTGCAGACTGCTGGGGAAAAAAAAAAAAATGTCAGCCAAAAGAAAAATGAATCTGTTATCATCTTCTGTTAATGACTGGGCCGTACAAAAGGAACTACGTGGATCTTTTGGAAGGATAAGTAACTGTTTCCCTTGCCTGAGATTTTTCTTCTCCCTACATTGTTATAAACGTCACCATGGAGGAACGTAAAGTTAAAAGAGCCAATGGAAACATGGATGGGCTTGGCTCCTTTCTACAGTTGGGCAAGTAGGAAGAAGATACACCTCACAGACATAGAAAATGACATCAGAGTGTGTATTAGCAAAACAGCAACAAAAAAATCATTCATAAACCAATAAGCTGAGAGAAGACATACGGTGTTCTGTTCTTTGGAGGACAATTTGTTTTCAGGCAGCATCCAGATGGGGAAATACCACAGCATTGCTGTTTAAAGAATCACTTCTCCCTAAAAAAAAGGAGTGAAGCCTCACAGAATTTACTGCCTTTACCAGAGCCAGTGTTTGAG